GTCGGTAGTTTTGAGTCGAGCTGAGATGACCCTACATGATGTACAGGTACTGTTATAGGTTACCTATTGTATTATTCAGTTAGATTAGATATTGATAGATATATTTGAGACTAGAGGCACTGATAAGACAATAGATATTAGACAGTTGACAGATTAGCTGTCAGGGCAGATTTCCTATTGCACACAGTCCGTCTGAGAGTGATCTAACTTAGCTCTACTTTCAAGCAAAAATTTAATCTTTTCATGGACCTGAGCAATGGAAATTTTTGTGCATTCAGTTGTTCACTGTTGTTGGTCAAATTTCACTTGTTTTGATTGTAAGAAATCAGATGCACTTGAAATCGAACTGAGTCTTCTTTTAGTCTCTTGTAGATCAGAAATGTTTATCTAATTATTCAATATGTAAATTAATAATATATTTTATTACGTGTTATATATATATTATAGTGTTTTCTAGATCATGAATATTTATCAACTATCTTCTGGTATATTTTATTATTATATTATAGTGTCATCTAGATCGCGAAGGGGCGTCAGATCTGGTGGTAGATCTAATTATAGAAAACACCAGTAACAGAATATTCCAGGAGACAGTAGAACTAGGTATCGCGTTACTAGAGGGAGGTAACTCTATTATACAGGTAATTACTCCCCTTTGATTAATATTTCAATTTGATTAATTCCATGATGCTTTAATTGAGTAACCTCAGAATGTTAGAGAATGAAATAGATGGATATATTCAGCTTCGCTACCGTTTGATTGAGTGCAGAATTGGAACCGACAGAACTTGTTCAGAACTCTTTCATGGAACGCCACGCCATGCCTTATCTTTTCAGACCTCTCTCTATAGCCGTCTGAGTCATGATAAGAGTTCAGAGACCTTCTATCGGACGTTCTATGATAGAATGAAAGAAGCCCAGTTAGAAATAAAGAATACAGTAACTGTCAACACCAGTGATACAACCTCACAGAAATTAGAAGAGGAAAATCTCTCAGCCAGTAAAAATATTAAAAAAGGTAAAATCAGGAACCAATTGTGGCATCTCAATAAATGCATTTCTCTTGTTACAAAAATATTTGGTGTGTTCCTTATATTGACTGGACAGAATAGGCTTACTCTTTCTGTGTTATTTACATCTTACTTGAATGTTACAGAGTAACTTATTTACTGTATGAAAACTTTAACACTATAGACCTAGTTTCACATAATTTATAGTAGAAATAAAATCAGCCATATTGTTACATCTCAGCTTTTTTCCTTTAATTTGTCCAAACCAAGGAATTCTCTTGTTTGCTGAGAAAAGCCTACGTTTTTATCCTCCAGGTCGATCTGATGCTGTGATATCAGAGGGATTGAGATCTCAATTTGACGATGCCAGTAACACGGCAGGTAGGACCATGGGTCAGATGAGACAGGGTCATGGTCACGGTGAAGATAGCGAGAATAATACTCCCGTCACTCCACCTGATGATGTCACAGATCATCGACCAATGAGAGACAAGGATGAGAAGAAACTGTCTGCTCAGATTGGAATGATGCAGCCTATTCTACGATTATTACAGTTATTGTGTGAGAATCATAACATGGATCTACAGGTAGGTCTGGTGTTATTTTACTTACTACCTGTAATCACACCTGGTTTAAAAACTGTAGTCCAACATGGCTTTAGTATACTTACCAAGCAAAATATCATAGTTAGTTTGAAAAAGAGTTGTCCAATGCTGATGTTCCTCGCAAAAAACTTCAAGGCATTATATTAAGCTATTCAGGAATATAAAAATAGCAATAATAATGAATTTTTTTATGACATACAGCCAAAAACCAAATTAGATAAAGAAAGAGTAGCCTAATACTGTCTCTGGAATAGTTCGGACAATTTAAATATTGTTGTCGAAATATTCTAGAAATAAACCATTTCTACCAACCCTATTTAAAACCGCATGTTTTCGCTATCATTGGTTCAGATCTGACGCAATCGTACCTGACTGTAATTATTATGTAAAATGATGTACAATAGTTTTCAGTTATATTAAACATGATAAACACAA